TGGTCCATGTTTTTACAGTTATAACTGGAGCCTTGGTGCGTTTGAGAAGTTGTTTGTAGGCTGGGAGTAGGAACAGGGAGATGTGGTCAGATTGTCCAAGAGGGGGGTGAGGTACTGCTTTGTAAGCACCGGGTACATTAGTATAAACAAGGTCAAGTGTGTTGTTTCCCCTGGTGGGGCAGTCAACGTGTTGGTTGTAGCTAGGCAGGACTGATTTCAGATTTCCCTGATTAAAATCACCTGCAATAATAAAAACACCATCAGGGTGTGCTGATTCTTGTTTACATATAGCTTTGGACAGCGTTTTGACTCCTCCTTAGCATTAGCGTTAGGAGGTATGTATACAGGAGTAATAATGACCGACGTGAATTCCCTAGGAAGGTAGAAGGGTCAGCATTTTACCATATAGAGTGATCTATGTTGATCAATGGCCAAAATGTCCAATTAAATACATTATGATTCTATATCGTTACACAACAAAATGTGAAAAAGTCCACAGAGGATGCAGACTATTGCTAGCCATTATACATAATGTAGAAATACTGTAAGAGATGACAAGATGAAAGAATCTGAAAGCAGTGGTGACAAACAAGTCATTCTTTGTCTCGTAATCCAGAGGAGGAAGACAATTGTCCAGGTGACAACTTAAGATCTTGGAATTGGAGGCTACTGGAGGTTCTGTCAGCATGTGTTGTCTATGCTAGAGATCTTTCTTTCATTAAGTACAGCATCACAGAGAAAAAAGAAGCAACTGACTGAGTGGGGCATGGACTTGATACCTCCATAATCCAGTTTCATGTTTTAAGACACAAAATTGACTTTTTAAACAAATGTACATTATGTCAAAGTGGTGTTCTTTTTTCCACTCCATGCAAATTTGTCTGATCTAACCACACCTGACGGATATAGACGTGTCAGATCTGACAACACCTGGCTGATAAAAATGATGTGGAAGAGATGCCTTTCATAATTACCTAAAGACAATTTTAGAACAACTCTATGCATTTCTCCAGAAAGGCATGATACTGGCTGTAATCGTGACAGAAAATTATTACATTCTCTGAGGAGAATCCTACATCTGTAAGGATAGCTGTGGCAACTATCAAATAAAACCAATAACCTAGAGCATCTGAGCATAGGCAGGTCATCTGCAGAACCAACCAATGACACTCTAACCCATGCCTGCCCTCCTCTGTCCAGCAGCTTTTGTAGGTCTCTTTAAATCTCCAGCTTCATATAGAGAAGGTAAGGCTTCAGCTTGTCCAATTAAGGCAATAATGAGTTCAATTAGGTAATTAAAGGCTTAGGTAGAACGAAAACAAGACCCCCTGGCTCTTCAGGACGGGAATCATGCACCCTTACTCCAGCCTCAACTCTAATACTAGCCTCTTTTACTGACCAGTTGTGAGCAGGCCACTGGGTATCAATAATGAATTTTCACGATCTTGCAGCTTCAGTCAGAGCACAAGAAAGTAGGTGGCATCCAGCCATGTAAAAGGAAAGAGAACAATTGAGTCTTACCTTAACACATTTTGACTTGTTAAAATTTGGACAGCTTCTAGTAAACACTTGCAATTGTCAATTCAAAATGCTAATGCTTGGATTCAATTTAGTTCTTAAATAACAAAAACAAGCATTTGCCAAAACCCAAAGCAGTGTAGCAAAAAATAAAGCATACAAAATAGTGTTTACTGAATATATCTTGCATAGCATGCAAAATGTATTATTTCAGAATGTTATGCCCAGAGACTGCTTGAGACTTCATGTACCACAGCTCTGCTAGCAGAATGGATAAACATTTGACTGATACCAGGCAGGCTCAGCCAAGCTTGGCTTCAGCATTGTGCAGCTCAAATGCACCAGAAGAAACTTTCCATCTCTTATATCTTCTCTTTCTTTGCCCCCATGTTAGGTATCTACAACAACAGGGTTAAACAGTCTTTCACCACCATCTTAGGTCTTTTGTTAGAATTAAACTATTTAACCTGCCTCTGTACTGTATATTCCACAATCTGCTCAAATTACGTTGACTCTGTTGTACCTCCCTGCATTGCTGCTTTTCCATTTTAATTAACAATATATGGTTTTATTTTACGCTCCAATCACACCTCTCAGCAATTTCAAGACAATGCACAGTAGATGAAACGATCTCCCTCCAGGGAGACAAAGAAGTTACATATTCATCACCTACACCAAGACAACTTCAAACTGCAAATTACTAGTCTGAGAACACACAAGAGTCCCTGCAGAGCAAAATAATCCTGCAGTAACAGAGAAGTGGATGCTTCCCCCAGATTTTCAAATAAATCTGGGGATAAAGGAAGAGCTCTCTTCACCAAAAGGTGAAGAATGTGAAGTGGGCTGTTGGTCACTTGGCTGATCAGTGGTTTAGAGAAAGGGGATCTGCACCGCAGACACATCAATCCTGCACATCGAAAGATTCCACTGCAGAAGCGTAAATACCACCGTGCAAAAGAAAGACGGGTAGCAAGTGTACACTCCGAGGGACACTAGGAAACAGACAAATCGTGAAGGAAACCACTGATTGCAAACACTTCAGGAGGAACCTGAGAAGTTC